TTGTTTTGTATCAACGTCGATCCCTTTAATGAAGCGTGGATAATTTTCAAAGGCTCCGGCTGCTTCTTTCCTCTCTGGTAAACAAACAGTTAAAACCACTTTCAATCCTTTGTGAGATTTCTCTTGGATCCTGGCGTCCATCGAATATCCTAAGTGGGTACCAAAAAAAAAAAGATAGCCGAGATTTCTCTGGCTCTTTACCAACGAGAGCTCGCTATCTCTCGATAAGCGATCCGTAATGCGGCGGATAAGAAAGTTGGTGAAAGGAGATGGACTTCTGCGCCACGTTCCGCGCTAACTTTTACGCTCCGTCGCGTCCAGACGAAAAATCAGGCAGAAAGGATCAAAGGGAGAGCAGATCCAAGCTTGTCCGGCTTCAGGCTGACGTACGTCCTGTTGGATCGAGCGAACACAGCGATCGCCAAACGAATTCCCCTTTCCTCCGGAGACTAAAGAAATCTTTTGCGCGACACGATTTCCCACGGCCCCGCACCACGCCGCGTCGTGTCGCATCGCGTCGTCTCGCATCAAGTCACGTAAATCCATTTTCTTCCGCCGACTGCCATAGAGATCAAAGACAGGTAGAGACGACCAAAGGACGTCTCTGTTTCGTGGACGTATCCTACACGTATGTAGGATTTGACATTGTCGAATTGACAACGCGTTTGAAGCGTCAAATGTGATGTATGCGTTGCTCTCGACTTTAAGACGAACATCTCTTTGCGACGAGTGACGTCGATGCGCTAATTAAAGGGCAGAAAGAATTAACACTCTATTGTCCCCAGCGGGGTAGAATGACAGGTACTGAGGAAACAGCTATGGATTTTTATGCATTTATGCACATAATATGCAGATATCTAGAAAATATTCAAAGTGAAGTCTTGTTATAAGATTTAACGAATGAAATAAATCTCTATGTAGGTTCCATTTCTTTAGTTATGCTAATAAAATATGAAATTGCACAAAAATCCGCAGTCTAGGGGAGTGTGTCGCAATATTTCCATTTCATCCAGCCTAGATTAATAGTAAAACATCAAAATAAGTATACCTAAATTAAGTAATTGTATGTACCTGATTAAGCAGCACTGAGCAGAGTTATGATAGTGGTGCAACTGTGAAATTGTCATGCATATTTGCAATTATAATTTACTACGTGTAAAAGATTTTTTTATTTTGTACGGTAGGCCATGGGCTAAGCCAAACGTTTAGGAAATAAAGTTTTGAAAATAAAGGAAGAAAAGAATGTAAAGTAATGTACGTGTTTTCCAGCGAGATCATCTTTTCTTTTATCAATCTTTTTCTAAATCAAGCGTATAACTGTTCGACAGAATTATACTTCGATCGACTAAACTCAATAATTGCGCGCGGGATCTGTCTGTTATCTCGACCTCCGAGAGATTTTTCGGTTTGCAGCGCTGTATCAACCTATCGATCGTAACGACCCTTTTTTAATTTATTCCACGCTGCTTTGTGCTCCACGATCCGTGATAAAGAGAAATGTCCTTGACAAAACCACGTTAACTTTTTAAATACTTAGGAATTTTACGCGAGACTGTTTCTCTGTACGGCAGAGTTTCACGCGAATTACGCGTAAACGATACAGCACTGCAACGTGTGACGGATAGTTCTGTTCCTCACGCAAGCACATTGGAATGAAGTTTTTGATAACAAAATTACAACTTTTCTTAAAGATATGATGCATATACTTTAACTTCGATAATTTACTTTAATAATTAATAATACAATTGAGTGTGATATTTTTTTAAAGCACGGTACGACACATAGACTCACGTCACAATTTTCACTCTCAGCGCGATGGTGTTTTTCAAATTGCTCTTCGTTTTCTATTTCGAAGCGACATTTTGAGGTTGAAGGTTCTACAAAATTATAAACATACTGATCGGTATGTTAATTTACATTAACGAAAAGCAACAATTGATACCTTACACTGGCGCATCAAAAACAAAGACTATACAGGGTGGCTGATAACTGGTGATACAAGCGGAAAGGGGGTAATTCTACGCGAAAAAAGAAGTCGAAAATATAGAATAACAATTTTTTTTTAATTTTTTTTTTAATTTTTCCATCGATCTACAGTGAGATCCATTATAACGTACCGCACGCATACCTAGCGAAAATTCAAAGTCGATTTTCTCGAAAACAAAGCCTCAAACGAAAAATGTTTATTCTATATTTTCGATTTCTTTTTTCGCGTAGAATCGCCCCCTTTCCGCTTGTACCACCAGTTACCAACCAGCCTGTATATTCTGTTTGTATATTGTTAACACTGTTATAGAACGTTGTAAGGGCAAGAAAATTGTGAAGCAAGACAAATGAAAAAGACCGTTTAGTTTAAACGGTGAGCGTATAAGTTGTGAGCCACTATAGTGGCGCATCGTAATGATAAGATGACATCCGCGAAAGCCGCTATAGTGGCGCATAGTGCTTAACCGTTTGAGGTTGCTTGTCTTAATCGATTGCGAAGAGAAACAAGCGGCACAATAACGCTCGTCATATTTGTTATTTTTATAAAATACACCTACATTATTATATATGCGTACTATTATATAAATATTTTAAGTTTCCTTCAATAACATCATCTACATTATTATATATGTATACTATTATATAAATATTTCAAGTTTTCTTCAATAAAAATTATTGAGAAGATAACAATGAAACAAAATACCACCAGTCGTTCAAATGTACTGGGACTTTTCGACAAAAAATCTAAACAACGCGATCGCGCTGCTTGGGACTCAAGCGGCTAAGAAAGTAAGCAGACCAAGTCGGACAGCGACCTCGGCGTGACGACTATTCAGCATAAGTTGTCCTTTTTCTACTCGTAGCAAAATCGGTGTTCCTTCGCACCGTTCCTGTTAAAAATTAGAAATTGGTGTATTCCTACGCGCTGTGCATTCCACTATCTTCAGGAAAACGACCAAAGTTGGATTATCAGGTTCGCGGCGACGACGCTGCACGTGTCACGTAAAATAACAAAATAAAAAAGGAATTTGAGGTAAAAAATAAAAAAAGAAAACTTTATTTTTTTTCTAGCATCAATACACTTTACAATCTACTTCCGAACTCTAGGCGTGACTTTCTAAGACTGACTCTTATGATTTTACTTTCGATCGGATCCGATTACTTTCTTTTGTCATCCCTCAACATCCCCACCGTCCATGCATTTGCTAGGCGTCCGCGATCGTTGCCACGTGCTCTTTCTTCTAGAACCTTCGATGGAAGGACCGTTGGGATGTTGATGGTTCATTAGGCACTTCAGCGATATACATTGTCGCCGAGTGCCGCCACATCTTTATCTCTATCGTCAGTCCGTCGGATTTGAAGTATGCCGGTCGTGACACACGCGGCTGAAAAGAAAGAAGACGGATGGCAAGCACGATCCATAGACTCGTTTCAGCAGAGCAGAAACGTCGATGGCGTTACAAGGATGCACGAGGACAAGGACCCAATTATCCAGGATTTTGAACGCAGTCGAGTTAGCGCGGCGAGGTGAACGCAAAGGTCACCGTCAACGAGCTTGAGCGGCGTTCATTTACCGACCCCATCCCGGTAAAGAAGCCGGATAAAGAGGAGCCGTCAGTCGAGCCCTCGATCGACACGCATCTACCACAAGTTAAGGTTAAATCAAAGGAAGACGTTGAAGAGCGTTTAATGCTTCCGAGTTTCGAGAAACAAAGGAAAGTTTTCTCTCCGATCGTGGAAGGCCGCTTCGTGCAACTCGATAACGAGCAATCGCTTTGTCGGCGGCGAGTTTCCGCGGCCTGCAAGACTACCGACTCCGATTGCCTCTTTCGCGATCTTTCAATCCGTAGCCAGAAGTCCAAAACCGAGCCATCGGAGACCGGCTTGGGTTCAGTTCGGGCGCAGCTTCGAGTAATTGAAAGTCTATATATATGTCGAGTTCTCGTTAGTGTTAGGGGTGTATAACGAATCTTCGTTTGGATTAGCCATCGTTGTTGTGCAATAGAGATAATATTGACTGGTATAAATATGGTTAATACAAAATTTGACAAATAACCGTGGTGATTAGGCACTCGAGATGCTAATGACAGTGGTCTTAGGTTCGATAACAAATCCACGGTCAACGGGATAACTCTGTTAAAACGTAGAGTATATTTTGAAACACTAAAAGATACAAAAACGTTAGCTAGGACGCTCGGTATTAACTAATCGTAAAGACGATGTGTAACTCTCCAAGGAGATCGCAAGACAGAAAAGACTGATGAAACTCTCCTCTCCTAACGATCGCGTTCGTTTGTTTTATATTGGTCGAGAGGTACCGACAAAATTCCGATCGCCTTTGTTAGACAGTACCGCGTAGCGGCGACATTGTTCCTGCCCGGAGTTTGATTATTAATACAATGTGTATGTCCTACGATATTGATACTCTGAGGCAAAGCCACACGTGGCTTCATTTGTCCTCGAGCTTGTGCTACGACTATATTTTTAAAGAGAGCTATACAACTACTCCATACCTCTGTTAGGTAAAAACGTCCATCCCGTGACTGTGGCTACGTTTAGCGACCAGTTGCGTCACCTCGAGCCCAAGCCCACTGTCACAAATCTCGGGCAAACATAATCGAATGGAATCATAAACAACTACTTCTAAGTTTTATTATTTAAGTACAGCTATAATAAATAGTCTAGACTAAAGTATTGGGGATCTTCCCAAAAATTCCAGAAGAAAGGCCCCGACTGTCCTTCCATCTCCGACATATATATGTACTTCCCCCCTCTTTTATGCAGAACTTCTCGGCCAGTAAACGTCTCTGAAAACCCAGACGAGTAAGAGGTTCCTTTTCTGACTCAGCCTCGTTGTGCCTCTCTCGCAACGTTCTCGAGAAAGAACAACGGGCTTGGAGAAGCACGCGGACCCAGAAGTATGTAATTACATGGCGCGCACAAAGGACGACCGACGAAACGTGTTTCAGTCACGAATGAAATTGCTCGAGGACACGGCTCGTAATTCCATCGAGTAATCGGGTGCAGCCGATTAAAGAAGTCGACCCCGCTGGAAATTCGATCCGTAGGACGGTCTACCTGTCCCTCTCGTTAGTAACGCGATTAATCCAACCTCGTTATTATTTGTCCCTTTCACTGTGGCGTACGTACGACATAGTTGCACGCCGAAAACTATAAATTATTAAGATTTGCGATTGCCACGACGATGCACGGAATCGTTACGTATTTCTTACTCTGAAATCGTTCATATGCGTTGCCAGTACGTATTATCCGACGTGTAAATAATTGAGTAAAAAATCCATCCGAAGCAACGTTTCTTAAATTTTGTAACACAGTCATTATAGCACAGCAGCATTGAAATTCACGGGGGAAGGATTAACCTTTGCACTCGAGAGGCTACTCTCAGTGACCACGACGTTCCGTGCTGCAACTCCAGTGGCGAACGACAGGCGACAGTTCCTGTTTATAGATTTCGACATCTCCAATTGACGAGAGCATAATATTGATTCGTAAATTGGTTCCTTAGCTCTTTGTGCTGTTTGTTAGCAAGTGTAAAGCGTTAGACTTTAAAACGGAGACAAAATATTTAATGCCATATCCCTCCGAAACTATGGTTCTGACAACGTCTCCAACGTTAGTTCAAATTCGACGACCATGGCAAAAGTATTATAGTTTAGAAAACCTAAAAAAATGGTTTTCGGATATGGAATTAACTGAAACGAAGATGAACTTGATTTTGAACTGTTGGAAAATGAGATGAATTATATTCAAGAATCCATCTTGATGAATGCTTTGAAAATTAACATACAAAAAAAACACAGAAATTAATATTACAGAATCATATCTTTGAAGATGTAAATATAGATAAATTATTAGAATGTAATGTTTTGTAAGTTAATTTGTATTTAAAATCATTTTACGCTAGCTGTAAGACACGCGTCACGTATGCGTTAAATCATCCGCAGTAGCTGCTACGCTCGACCGAAGAAATCCTCGAGTACAAAGGGTTAAAAGCCAGATGCGGCCATTCGTTTGAAATCGCGGAGGGTTTCCGATTTACGGCGTGAGCAAGCTTGCTTCTTCTTTTTCCGCGCGCTAAAATCGGTAACGCGACTCGAGGAAGGCCGGTTCCCTGATAAAACGTTAATTAGATCGACTACTTGCTCGTAGCTGGCGTCCTCGCGCCTTCAATCCTCTCGTTCTCGTCGCGCCAGTACCGACCGCATTAACCATTCGCCGCCGTTTCCACCAGAACTCCCAGGGGATTGTTATTTCTCGCGCCGCGCCGCCCGGTCCGCGAAGCTCCCGCGGGAACCGAGCAACAGGAACGTGTCACGGTCTACCGGGAACTTCGCCTCGGCTCCACAACTTTCTTCGTGCTGCC